ACCAAAATCCACAGAGAACTCAAATGTATTAGCAAGAACAAGTGATCCCATCTCAGGGTGGTCAAGGGACTTAAAGAGAAACTTCTCTGAAGAAATGCTCACCATCCTTAATCATCAGAGAAATGCAAATCAAAACTACTTTGAGATATCATCTAACACCAGTAAGATTAGCCTATATCCCAAAAATCCCAAAATCCCAAAATCACAGATGCTGGCATGGTTGTGGAGAAAAGGGAACACTTCTCCACTGCTGGTGGGATTGCAAACTAATATGTCCCTTTTGGAAAGTCATCTGGAGAACACTTAGAGAACTAAAAATAGACCTGCCATTTGATCCTATAATTCCTCTACTAGGTATATATCCAGAAAACCAAAAATCACATTACAATAAACATATTTGTATCAGAATGTTCATTGCAGTCCAATTCATAATTGCTAGGTCATGGAAGAAGCCCAACTGCCCATCGACCCATGAATGGATCAATAAATTGTGGTATATGTACACCATGGAATACTATGCAGCCATAAAGAAAGATGGAGACTTTACCTTCTTCATGTTTACATGGATGGAGCTGGAGAATATTCTTCTTAGCAAAGTATCTCAAGAATGGAAGAAGAAGTATCCAATGTACTCAACCCTATTATGAAACTGATTTTTAGCTATCATAGGAAAGCTATAACCCAATTATAGCCCAAGAATACTGTGAAAGAGAAGAGGGAGGGGAGGGGAGGGGAGGAGGAAGGATGGGTGGAGAGAGGGTGATTGGTGGGATCACATCTATGGTTTATCCTATGTGGGTACATGTGAGTCTTTCTAAGTGTAGAATATAAATGTCTTAACACAATAACTAAGAAAATGACATGAAGGCTATATTAACCAGATGGATGAAAGTATTTCAAACTGTATATAGAAATAACACACTGTACCCCATGATAATATTAATGTACACAGCTATGATTTAATTAAAAAAAAAGAAAAAAGAAACATATTTCCCAATTTTAAAAAGAATCATTTGTGACTTTAAAAAAATTATTGTTAGTATAAACACATTTTATGAACTACAGAGATCTAGAACTAGAATTTCATACTGAAAAATCAAGTAGTCAAATAAAAATCAAGCACTAAAGAAATTATGACAATAACATATTATTAATTACTATGAGTGTGGATTTGTAACATTTTACATACATTATTTCATCTATTCAACTACTCTAAACAATATTCCCATCTTACAAAGGATGAAACAGGTTTAAAGATAATAATTGATTAACTTACATAGCATGAGTATAAGTGGCAGACCCAAGTTTTGAAAGCCAGATATACATTTAGTGATTCTAAACTCCAAGGATACCAAGTAGATCATTTCTCTTAGGTGTCAGAATGAAACAGTGTCTTTGGATGATTGTAAGATTTGATTGTAATGAAAGTGTTTTAAAAAA